AACTAATGATCCCATTGTATTGATGTTCAAATGACGCAAAATGTTTCTCTTCTCATCAAAGTCGTAATAGAATGTCCACTTCTGTTTGAAAAGGTCTATCTGTCCAATGAACTTTGCCATAACTCTTGGAAACATCTTGTTGAAGTAATCTTTTCCTCTTGGACTGTATTGGTCAATGTTAAACATAATGAATCTTTCTCCTGCTTTAGTTATTGGGTCTAACCATTTCTCATCAGGAAGTTTTTGACCATTAATGTTCTTAACAACGTAAAAGGCATTCTGTATTTCTTTGTATGCTAATTCGCTCTCATCAATCTTTGGTGGAGGGTCTGAGTATATTGGTTGCATCTCCATTAACGCTCTATTATGAGATCTCTGATCGTGATCTAAAGCAACTGGGGAATTTGAAGCTGGAACATTCATGATACCATTGTAGTCATCATAGAAGCTCTTAGCATTCTTGAAAATATCTGCTACACTTCCTGTACCTCCTTGATTCTTAATTGCCAGAGCTAATTTATTGGTAATGTCTTTAGCTTTCTTAGGCATTTTGATCCCAAACATATCAAGCATACCTTTCTTATCTTCTGGTGAAAGGTTATTAACTAATCCTTTTATAGCATTGAGCATGTTGGTCTTTTATAACCGATAAAAAAATATACGTTATTTTTTTTTAATCGTCATCGTAATCATAATCGTACGAAGATTCTGTATCATCATCACTGACATCATTGGTTTCTCTAACTTCTGGCTTATCTGGTTTAATCTCTATCACCATAAACATTGGTGACAATAATCGAACAGGCTGATCTTGGAAGTCAACTAAGGTAAACGTAACATTAGTTAGTTCCCATGGAAATGCATCTATCCATGGTGAGGATTCCTTACATATAAGTGGTTTACCAGATATCCAGAACTCATTGATGTTATAACATGTAGATCTGTACATGATCTTTCTTCGATCATCAACTTGGTCAATATTATTGAACCCAGAGATGACAGACATTGATGAACGAAGGTATAACTGATACCCGAAGTTGAGCATAGGTGGTTTTGGCATTTGTAGATAATAATTATGTACAATAGGTAGTTCTATTCCATATGCACCTAAAATAAGATTTGCTCTATGTGAAGCATCTTTTAAATAGACTTTATGTCCTTTGTCCTGTGACGTAAATATAAGTTGATTCGTAGCACTCAGTGAAACTGTTACATTATGTTGACCTTTTTTCTTGTTATAATAATCAAACTGTTTTGTTACAATCTCTTGTAGTTTTGATACAATAGTATCCATATCAAATGAAAGAGCTGACTTAAATGTACACACCTTTTCTTCTCCATCTTCGTCTAACTGTAAGACAAAATAATCTGTTTCGTCACAAACAATAAAGTTCGCCATAGTACTGACACTTTTTACTCTCATCTTTATCTTACTTGGATGCCCCATGTTAGGATCTGCTTGAAACTGTATTGTCCCGTAGTTATTAGGATCAGTCGATTGTAGATAATACATCATTTTTATATGTAGTAAAAGAATGAGTGTTGTTCCATATGCATATGAATGTTATAAGTCTAGCGTACTTCAATATAAAGAATATACTCTCAGAATTACTGATAATGCTTTAGTCATACATAAAGAAGGTGCTGATGAAGACATTACCATCGGTCCTGGTATATTACCTATCGAGCAACCAGATGGTACAATTGTTGAAACAGACTTAAATCAATACCTTCAAGCGTTACAGAATCGTGTGACAAAAGTAGAGAATAATTACTTAGATGCTCCATTCTTCACAACTGATAGAGATTATATGTTTTCATGTATGGCGAGTAATGGTTTGCAAGAAACTCGTGAGGTAAATATTAATGAAGCATTAGAGACTATAATATATCATGTTAAACGGTTATTATCGATTGACCATGGAGTTCATTTTGACCCAAGGTCTACACTGTTCAATATACCAATGATTGAAAACAGTCAATTAACATTTAAAGAAGATACATTGTATAATGCTTTAAACGCAGCATTTGCTTATATATTAGGTCATGAACAAGTACAAAATAGTGGTATTGCAATATACTTAGATAAAGTTATGTTAAAGAAACCATTGACATTCACAGAAGATGGTCCAAAAGCAACTGGTATTGTTGGTGATGGAACATTATTGACGAAAGAATACTTAGCAAGTCATGTCGGAGAATTTTTCTCCACTAATGATAGCATCAGTACAACACCAGAAGTTATTTTATTGAAGAAACCAATCACATTTGATGTTAAAGGAAAGACAAAAGCAACTGGTATAGCTGCGATGGAGTTCTTCTGACTAAGGAATACTTGAAGAAAAATATCAATGACTTCGTTGAAATTGTCAAAGATAAAGAATCTGGTCTTAAGTTCAACCCTTTATCATTCATCTTTGCCATAGCAAACGCCGGTGCTACTGCAGCCTCATGGATATCACTCCAGAGTCAAATAAATGCTCTTTGGGCTTTTGTTGAAAGTCAAGAAGGTATAGATACTGTTCTTGACACTCTGGGTAATCTTGGTCCAAATCATAAAGGAGGTTTTGTGGATGGAATAAAAAATTTAGTTGAAAAGACTAAAACAAGTTTCCAGAAGATAACTCATATAGAAAGATTCAGAAATGAAGGTTATATGGAACTTGAGAGTTTTGATGTGACTGGACCTTTGGAACCAATTCCAATGCCACGTGATGCTAATGATGAAGAAGAGAAAGATCCTGGACCAAAAACAATCATTTCTACGTTAAGTACTTTGTACCCTGATTTTGTGACCTTAGTGAAAGTTGCTAATACATCAAGAAAGAACAATAATATTAATATGTCTGGTACTGATGACCTTACTGATTATCTTTATCTCATTCTTGCTGAATTAGCGAAGAAAGTTGAGGAGAACAAAAATAATGGAGGAAGAACTGCACTTAAGATTGCAGACAAAGCTGACAAAAGTTATGTTGACGAAGAGATACGTAAAGTTGCATCTAAAGAATATACTTTATCACAGTCTGTCATACTTAAGACAATCAAAGGTCCAGAGAAAGATATGTACCCAGGTGATGGTACAACAGTTAAAGTTAATGAAAGAGTTTCATTCCCATCTGGTATTGATACAAAAGAAGTATATATTAATGGTGAAAACATCAATACAACATTGTTTCCTTTGAAAAATAATGAGTTCACTGAACCTTTGACAGCAATTCGTTCAAGAGAAGACAAACCTGTTATAATCAATAAAATAGGAGCTGATAATGACCAACCAGTTCAAATCAAGAAAATAAGAGCTGATGACATTATCTTGAACTATACTTTAGGTTCAAGTGCTCCACAAGAAGATCCAAGCACTAGCGTAAAAGATACTCTTAACAGTTTAGATAGTAAATGTACGAACATTGAAGGTCATGCCAGAAACTTCGAAGTATATGAACTACCAGCAATGTTAGATAAGAAAGCTGACAAGAACCATGTTCATTATATAAGTTCAGATGAACAGATTATAACGGACTACCACGGATATTTAACACAGGGTGAAAAAGTGAATACGAAAAATGTTAATGAAAGAAGATATAAATTCATTCGTGCTAAAGGTTATGACATACACTGTACTGTACAGTATGACACAGGTATAGCACCACAATCATTTGGTTATAACGCTGAAATTTATGCTTCATACTTCTTTGTTAACGGTGTATTAGTTGAGCCAAGATTTAGGTTGAGAGTTAAGGCAAAAATAACCGTTGAAGATGCTATTAAAAGTAAAGCTGACAAAGATGAACTTGACGCAACGAACAAAGTTTTGAAATCTCATAAACACAATATCTCCGACATAAATTCACTTCAAACTTCTTTAGACAACAAAGCAGACAAAACTTATGTTAATGAACAGATCTCAAAGATCTCTAATGCATCTGTAAACAATGGAATACCTGAAAGCATTACAGTTAGCTTTGGTAATAATGATATGGGTAAAGTTGCAATATTTATAAATTATAACATTGGTCCATCAGAAAAAGGTCCAAGTTACTATACATTGAGTCATGGTAAATCTATTGAACTTGTGTTCCACAAAAAAGATGGAACAAACTTAACTATTCATCCTGGAGATAACGTTTTGAGTTTATTTGAACGATGTCACCACAGTAGATTATACTTATAGACCTTCTAACATGTTTGACATGATGTATCCAATTGGTTCTATATTTACATCAATGAGCTCAACAAGCCCGCAAACCCTTTATGGAGGTGTTTGGCAACCGATTGTTGATCAGTTTCTTTACTGTTCTAACTCATCAATGGACTTTGGTGGTTCAAAGACTATCAGAGTTGAAAACCTTCCACCACACTCCCATAGGTTCAGTGCAACAACATCTACTAATGGAGAGCATTCACATTCAATGACAAAAAGAGGTTATACAAATCTTGCAGCAGGTTCTGATAGACAAGGTATGAATAGATATGATATCACAGATGACCCTAGAGATGTTAGTACAGGTATTTTCTGCGGATCTGCAGGAAACCATACTCACACAGTAGCTGGAATCACAGATGCAACAGGAAAAGGTCAAGACTTCTTACCACCATTTATGACTGTATTCGCTTGGTTCAGAGCTGCTTAACTCAAGATCACGATCACAAACTGTTTCTCAGTATGAATGAGTAGCTCTATTTTTACATCATTACTGAAGTATTTCTTTTCTTCATCAATGACAGAAAGAATGTTTTCATCATCTTTTAAAGATCTTACCAAAGTTAGATCTTCATCAGAAAATCTCAAAGAAAGACTCATTTATGCACTAATAAAAATATAGCTAATTATTTTTTTATCTGAACTTTTTATCGGGTATATAAAGATGTCTGAACATCATATAAAGTTCTTTAAGATCCAACAGTTTGTAGATGAAGTGAAGAAGCAAAATAAAACAGCAAAGAGACTACTTATATGCTTACCACAAACATTATGTCAAGGAAAGTATGGTTATAGTGCAAGTCCGATCATGATCTTTGTCGATAAGCAGAAATACACAAATGAAGGTTTAGCTAATTTACTCAAGTTTGAAAAGATAGCTATAAACATTCCTGACCATTTCTCAGCGAGAATAAACCTTGACAAGACTAAAAGTTATTGTTTATATGTAGATCTCACGAAATCAACAAAGAGTAAAGACAAAGAATATAACCCAGTTGAACTTAAGACAATGGGTAAGAACTTACTCAAAGCTGCTATCAAACCTGTCGAAGAGATCGACATTGAGGATGAAGCAGAAGAAATAGATGTAGATCCTGAAGTGTTATAAACGATAAAGTTTATTTTTGGAGGAAGATGGTGTCAGACCATTTGATCTGGCATGCTTGTTCTAGGTAATTGCAGAAACCTGGAAAGATTGTTATTGGTCTGAGTTTCATACCTGGTCTCTCATCTCTCCATTGAAGCAAGTAAATTTACATGAAGAGTTCGTCTGGATTCTCAGGCTTTGGTACACACTGATCGAAGATCTGTATGACCTCTTCATGACCGTACTCCCTCTGGTCAGACATGAGTGTTCTGAAGAACTTTTGCATCTTCGGACCAGGTTTAGCATCTATGCAACGAGTGGGTCTCATTGACATTTTTGTCACTTTTATTTGGTCGAATGGAAGGATTCGAGTTCATGCCACTTGACAGCAAAGAAGGTGCAGAAGAGGTTGTTGTTGCTGCATTCTATGCGAGCTCACACGTTGACGCATTCCGAACTTACCAGGATGACCTCGAAAAAGAAGGTCGAAAGCTTGGAAAGATCCAAATGTTGCTTGAGTTCTTCCGTGGAAACCTTGCACAGAAGTATGAGAAGAAAGAATAAACAACTAATTATTACTGAGCTTAGCTCATAAATGTAAGTTTTTACTCTGATCAGATCTTAGATCTCGTCGGGACAAGCGGAAAGGATAAAGTCCATGAGCTGGACTTTTGTCTTAGTGAGCGGTACTGCGGTCATGAGTAGTTCGCGCTTGTTTGAGCCACTTGGAACGCGACCCTTCCAATTCCTCATAGATCTCAAGGCAGAGATCGTGAAGAACTCAAGGACAAAGAGTCTTTGAGACTTGGTAAGGAATCCCTCATCATCTCTTTCATCCTGGAGGGTCTTTGTGGATGCAGTGGACTTGATCTCGTCTTCCTCGATCGGATCATTCTCATAATCTTCATCACCCTTCTTCCTAAACGTCATCTGCTCTCTCTTGTAGTCGTTCCTGAGAGCATTGAGTCCAGCTTCAAGATCTTGTGAGTTCTTTGCAGGTTTGTTGAAAGTTTTCTTTTCCTGCATTTGCTGTATAAGCTGGGTTTGCTGTTGCATCATCTGCATCATCATTGCCATCATATCTGGTGTTGGTGATGCTGGAGCTGGTGTTGTACCGTCTTGGGACATTTGGTCGTCGGTTATGTCTTTACAAAAGATTGCTTTACAAAAGCTTGCTTTACAAAAGCTTGCTTTACAAAAGACGTCTTGACAAAAGCTTGCTTTACAAAAGATTGCTTTACAAAAGCTTGCTTTACAATAGCATTTTCTCACAAAATTGAATACTTTTGCTTGACAAAAGCTTGCTTTACAAAAGATTGCTTTACAAAAGACGTCTTGACAAAAGCTTGCTTTACAAAAGATTGCTTTACAAAAGCTTGCTTTACAAAAGACAGCTTTACAAAAGACAGCTTTACAAAAGACAGCTTTACAAAAGCCATGACTGATCTTCATCCAATTTGTTTAATCGAACTTAATGAAGTAGTTTCTGCATATCTCCTGCATGTATTTGGAAACGAGAAGAGAAGACAACTCACCAAGGTTTCCAGACGCCAGATCCAAAGACTTGAAGCAACTGCAGGAGTAATCCTTAGCTTTGAAGAAGGATTAACCAATAAGAAAGATGTCATTGACTCCAAGCGTGAAAGCCTTGCTGCTTTCTTACGCAAACACCCATGGGTCGATGTTGATCTCCAAACTCCTTACCAAGGACTCGTTGAAACCTTCACGACCTACAGACAGCTCCTTGACAGACCTGAGCAGAACCTTCTGGTCGAACGTGATGGCACATTAAACCCTACAGACCAGCAGGTTGAGAAAGAAGAAGCTCAAGAGTAAAAATTGACATTTTACTTTTGACATTTTTTCATGAGTGTTCACGTTAAGATCAATGATGAAAACATGACTTCATGGGAAGATATCATTGATGACATAGAGAATGACCTTGATGAAAACATGATGGGAGCTCAAACGTCAGTTAAGGTCAAACTTGGTGAAGTTCAAGAAAAGATCTCCGAGATCAATGCAAAAATATCTGCTCTTACAGAGGTTGACGTTTATTACAGAAGCTTGGAGAGAACTTTAAGCAAACTTGAACGTCAGAACCAAAGTCTCATAGTTGTGCTCCAGAAACTCAGTCTCATGCGTAAAGCATATAATGACTACCTACATGTAAGAGACTTACCTTCTTATTCTACTCCAGATCTCGACTTTTCCGATATAAGTCCAATCCTTATTGATACAACACTTACGATAGCAGGGATGCTTCCTACATATCCAGAATATGATAACTTACCTCAGCTCTTCGAGTATCTCAAGAAAAAGTTCATGATCTTATTATGCGAGACCATGAAAAGACGTCAAAATACCAGAACAGAACGAGAACAGAGCTTACTAATAGACTTATTATATAATACTAAAGAAATAAAGGAGTTTTTATTCTAACTTTGGTATTTTTGGGAAGAACTGATCTGGATCATATTTGTCAACCACAGGTTTTGGTATCAAAAGTCTCTCTGGTTCTTGGACGGCTGGTACTGGAAATGGTTCCTTTGGTTTCCTAGCTTTTGGGAGATCTAAAAATTTTCTTGGTCTCTTTCTTTTGTGTAAGTGTTGTCCATTTTTATCGACAACGAATGTGAGCTTTCCGTCGTCAAAGATGAATGTCGTCGCTTCTTCAGTTCCCTCATCAACTATTATCTTCTTGATCTTTCTCTTCTCCATTAACAGAAAAAGTGACATATATTACTTCATTATTTTTCTGAGTGTTAGGATTAATTAAACCTCTATCTATAACATGCTTTCTCATAGGAAATTTCTCTCCATATCTTTTTGTCAATATCTCTATAAGTTCTTCTGTATAAGATTTATCACTACTGAAGTAAATAGATGGATAATTAAGGACATCAAAGGTTTCTACAGTATCTTTAAGAGTCCATTCATCTCCATACTGTATAGAATAAGTATGGAAGTATGGAGGATCACATATAAAGAAAACATTGGGAAGATCTTTATACTCATTGAAGAGTATTCTCCAATCTTTATGAACAATAGTTAAACCTTCAAGATAGTCATCTATGTTTTCACCAAATAAGTTAGTATATCTGAGGTATAACACTTTCTTCATTAATGTGTCAAGATCATAGTATTTGTATGCTCCAGAATAGAGAAGACGTGAACATAATGTATCCCAGTCTATGTATGGAGCTTTACTTATAACTTCTCTGACGATCTCTTTCTGATCAGTAGGAATTTTCTCATCTGGCTTAACATTTATTCTCTCCTTAAGTTCCTTAAGTATTTCATTCGTGTCATGAATGTGTTTCAGTCTATCAACGTAGTTATCATAGTCGTTAGCTATGATCGTTGCTTTTGGGAACATAATATGCAACAGATGAGAGATATAGAGAGAACCACCAAATAGGTCAACGAAGACATAATCCCCTTTGATGTCTTTGAGTATGTCGATAAGATCTTTCCTGATCTTCGACTTATTACCTATGAAAGGTAAAGGAGGTTTGGTAAAAATCATTTATATGGTAATAAAAATAAGTGTTTACTTGAGACAATAACCTCTGTTGAGTTTGTAGAACAAGATCAGAAGTACGATCAAGTTCAAAACAACACAAATGGCTAGGATTGCGTTACCAACAATCTTTGTCTTTTCCCAGCAAGACTTCTTCTTTGGTTCATGTGCTGCTTCGACATCACTGTATGGCTCGGACATTAACTTAAAAAGTGTCATGACCACTTCATTTTTGATGAAGTCAACAGCTTATGTCCACTTCCTCCCACAAGCACTTGAGGGACAAGAGAAGGTCATCATTGACTACCTTCAAGCCACTGAGAAGCTCCAAAAGCTTCAAGATCTCCGCGAAGAGTTCAAGTCCCGCTTGAAACAGGAGAACTTACTGCAGGAGTACATGCTCATCCTTTATACACTCATTGATGGCTCCCATTTACCATCAGAGTACACTGCAGTTCTTGATGCACTCAAAGATCTTCGCGAACACCAGCCGATCGGTAAAGAAGCCTTCGAGCTCACCATTGAGCAAGCCATCTTCGCCAAGCACAATGCAAAGAAGCAGATGCTCGAAGCTCTTGACAAGATCAAAAAGTACGTCGAAAAGTACTAAAAATAATTACTTGAGTAAACGATAAGTTTTATTCATTGTTTCTCTTTTCAAGATATTCTTTCATCTTGACGTTATATTTTCCTAACTCATACAAGAACGTGTAGTATGAAACTTCAACCTCACGATGCTTTTCATACCATTTCATTATGAACATGGTAAGAATTGCTTCTTCGGGATTTGAGAAGGGATCTTCTTCACCAAATACGTTGTGATGAACTCTCATTGCTTTACCTACAGATATTGGTTCATCTTCCTCAGCAATTAGGTCAAAGAACCTTTGTAGTCTTTGGCTCATTGGAAATGTCACTTTTCGGTTAAACGATCACATACTTAAGACATAAATTATACCTACTTATTAACTCAGTATATTGTGCATTATATGCATACTTAAACTCTTGAGCAATATTGTTCTCATCAATGATTCTGATCTGAGCTATTTTTGAGAAAGGTGGTGGAATACCACAACATGTGATGTCTGGGTCCAGTAGGTCTATTTCACACTTGAACCCAGTCATTCTGTGAACAACTTCTTCCAAGTCTGGCTTAGGTAGTAAGATCTGATCTTTGCTCACTAAGTTAGAAAAGAGCTCTTTGTCTTGGTCTAGAAGTATCTTCTGGTATATACTAAGTAAATACTCTTCTACACCAATCCTCGATGAAGTCTCCACAGATCTCGATGAGGTCAGGTTGGAAGTTAATGGACTTAAAGGAGGAGGATACATTGGTGCTTCTGAGTTCGTAGTTGTTTCCTCTTTTTTTATCTCTGTTGGAGCATCACTTACTGTACCAGATGGATAGTTCTTTATCACAATGTTATTAGTTGTTCTTGAATCAACATTGCTTGTTGGTTCAATTGGAAGATTAGCTGCACCATAAAGAATTGACTTCGATCTCATTTGTTATGAGTAAAAATTGTTTTATTCTCATATAAATGACGAACATTAACCCAGAGAACAACACAGAATATACTGCAACAGGAGTTGTTTACAATGATCTAGATCAGATCGTCCAACTCAAAGCCCCAAGAGGAAGGAATTTAATAAGACAACCTCCACCAAAGATATATGTTGATGATGGTAGTAATGGGTTCAACTTAGTGTATCATTACTCATATCCTCAATATGCAAAAATTGGGTCTACCCCAAACGTGACAAACCATTATATGAACCTTTATGATGAAGCAAGGTTTCATGCACCAACGAAGAAAGAACCTGATGCATCAAGATTACATGAATTCGCAGACCATGATGGTTATAGCGATTACTCAATGCCTGTAAGACTTTAACGTTAATAAAAAAATGACTGTTGGTAAACAAGAAAAAACTTTAATACAAGAGGATTTGATGCTACCAATATATTCAACTGATATGGGAGCTTATCAATTCGATACATTTGAGAATCCTGGTGGAACACCACCATATTTTCTTTTGTTCATCAATGTAAACAGTAGAAAAGGTTATGCGTTCCCAATGAGTGAAAAGAACTCAAACAATGTTCTAAGTGCAATGCAGAAGTTCATTTCACAAGCTACAGGTGAAATGAAGCCTACAATACTTACTAGTGATGAAGACCCAGCTTATACGACACAAAATGTTCGAGATCTGTTGGTCAGTCATAACATTGAGCACATGACGACACAGAAATACAATCATAACATACTAGGTATTATTAATAGGTTCTGTAGAACTATTAGAACTATGTTACATATGAAGTTAAACCTCAAAGAAGGTGATAAAACACCACCTTTCACTGCAGATACAATGAGACAAATTATTAATGACTACAACACTGAATATCATTCAAGCACACAACAAAAGCCTGATGATTTCACAGAAAAGGATAATGAGGAATATATAAAGAAGCAAAGATTGAAAGAAGAGTATGTCAGAAAAAATAACCTTTATAACTTAAGACCTGGTCAAAAAGTTCAAGTCATAGTTGAACCAAGAACATGGGGTAAAGGTAACCAACAAAGAAGACATCTTGATCCTTCTTATTATACAGTTGATTCAGTTGATACAAGTGCATACTTGTTAAGAGCAAAAGATGGAAGTGTTGCAAGATATCCACGTTATCAGATATGGACAAAAATAGAGCATGGATTAAAGCAAGGAGAAACTTTAGATCAAGGAAGACACGGTGCTGTTAAAAGTATTGATGGTCATGAACTTGTCGGTAATGATGTAAAGTATGATGTTACGTTTGAGAACGAAAATACAGGAAAAGTGACAGGTAGAGGTATGCGTGAAGGTAATCCAAACAGGTTGTCACAAATGGAAGTACAGTATTGGAGGAAAAATATTAATGAAGGTCATGTTAAAGATATGCCTAGTTTTCTTGAGAAGTATCGTGGGTTTCGAGTTTAGCTTGTAAGTCCTTTATTTTTGTTTCATACAATGAGATCTTCCTTCTGATCTGTTCATCATTGAGAGGTTGCTTGACTTTACGGAACTGTACACGTCCGTCTTTCATTGTATGTACATAATATCCATCAGGAACCTTACCATCTTTTATATATTCAGTTAACCACTTTTGTTTAGTTGATGCTTTAATGACTTGACTCATTTCTTACTGGATAAATTTTTATGTTTTTTATCTTTTGACGATTTTTTCTTATCCTTATCTTTCTTCTTGTCCTTGTCCTTCTTTGATTTATCCTTCTTCTTGTCCTTGTCCTTCTTGGACTTCTCTGCTGCAGGTGGTGTTGGATTCTGTTTGACTTTAGCACTTGGGTCAGGACCTTGTCTTTGAGACTTAGATATAGATTGTTTAGGAGCTGCTGCTTGTTTAGTTGCTTCAGCTTGTTGTTTAGCTAATTCAGCAGCTTGTTTATCATTCTCTTCTATTTCCTTTGCACCAGTTGCGACTTCATTCTTGAACTTTTGGAGATTCTCAGCAGCATCCATTACCTTATTCGCTCCTTTAAACAATCCATAAAATTTCTGCCATGGTGATACTGAAGGTATATTTCCACCAATTGCTGGAGGAACTGATGCTTCAGGAGTTGGAGATGGTGTTTTGTCTGAATTGAGATGCTTTTCTGCTTCAAGAACTTGTGTAGTATTTTTCTCCAGGTATGCTTTTGCAACCTCCTTAACTTCTGGACGTTCATTATTTACATCCTGTCTTGGTGTTGATGTTTCAGTAGCGTTTTCCTGAGTTACATTAACAACAGGTTGCTCAACTGCTGAAACATTAGCTGCTTCAGTAATGTTATGAGTAGTTGAAACATTTCCTGATATACCTTCTCCTGTTGGAACTCTTGGAGCAATTGTTGTGATGTTCGCCATTGCAGGAGTTGGAGTAGGAGTGTCATCAATCTTTCTGTCAGCTTTCGTCGTTTGCGTTGTAGTATTTGTTGTTTCATTACCATATTTTGATCTTAGTCTGGTAAGCTCTAACTTCATATGTTCTTCAGGATATGCATACTTATTATATTCACCCTTAATATTCTTTTTCCATTCATCGTATTTATCTTCTGCTGATTTCTTAATTGATGCTAGTCCGTTTACAGCCAATTCATCAGTACCGTTATCAGTAGTCTGGTTATATAAAAGATTAGCAGCTGATCTAATTGTGTAATCCGTAAGATTACCAAAACGCTCTATTGTACCTAATGTTGTGTTCTTCAGTTCCTTTCCAATTCCTTGTGCAGCATCTTTGACTAAATCAGCACCCCATGCACCAAATTGTCTCACAGGAGCCGCTATTGATGGTGAAGGAGATGGAGATGGCGATGGAGTTGGTGATGGTGAAGGAGATGGAGATGGTGAAGGAGATGGAGTTGGCGATGGTGTTGCTGCTTTCGCCTTTCTATCAGCTTCTTCCTTAGCCTTTCTATCTGCTTCTTCTTTCGCCTTTCTATCTGCTTCTTCCTTAGCCTTACGAGCTTTTTCTTTCTTCTTAAGTTCCTCTAGTTCTTTACGTTCAGCTTCTTCTTTCGCCTTTCGTTCAGCTTCTTCCTTAGCCTTACGAGCTTTTTCTTTCTTCTTAAGCTCCTCTAGTTCTTTACGTTCAGCTTCTTCTTTCGCCTTTCGTTCAGCTTCTTCCTTAGCCTTTCTATCTGCTTCTTCTTTCGCCTTTCTATCTGCTTCTTCCTTAGCCTTACGAGCTTTTTCTTTCTTCTTAAGTTCCTCTAGTTCTTTACGTTCAGCTTCTTCTTTCGCCTTTCGTTCAGCTTCTTCCTTAGCCTTACGAGCTTTTTCTTTCTTCTTAAGCTCCTCTAGTTCTTTACGTTCAGCTTCTTCTTTCGCCTTTCGTTCAGCTTCTTCCTTAGCCTTTCTATCTGCTTCTTCTTTCGCCTTTCTATCTGCTTCTTCCTTAGCCTTACGAGCTTTTTCTTTCTTCTTAAGTTCCTCTAGTTCTTTACGTTCAGCTTCTTCTTTCGCCTTTCGTTCAGCTTCTTCCTTAGCCTTACGAGCTTTTTCTTTCTTCTTAAGCTCCTCTAGTTCTTTACGTTCAGCTTCTTCTTTCGCCTTTCGTTCAGCTTCTTCCTTAGCCTTACGAGCTTTTTCTTTCTTCTTAAGCTCCTCTAGTTCTTTACGTTCAGCTTCTTCTTTCGCCTTTCGTTCAGCTTCTTCCTTAGCCTTACGAGCTTTTTCTTTCTTCTTAAGCTCCTCTAGTTCTTTACGTTCAGCTTCTTCTTTCGCCTTTCGTTCAGCTTCTTCCTTAGCCTTACGAGCTTTTTCTTCATAATATTTTGTATACTTATCATCAGCCCAATTACCAAGTGATTTGGCACCTGTTAGTATTCCATTTGCGGTTGATGTTGCTGTTCTTCCGAGCCATCCCCCTACCGCTGAAGCACCATTGCCAATAGCACTACCAGCATTTAAAATTCCACGACCAATCCATATCCCTGGTTTTGCCTTTGTATTAAGAGTAAGAAATTCTTCCTTCCTATCTTCAGGTGTAGGATTTGTAACAGTTCTTACAGTATCAACAACAGTGTCAACACTGGTTCCAATAGCACTACCAACAGCTGTTGCACCAGTTAGAATACCATGGGTAACTAAATCAGTAGCTCTTGAGACAACATTATCACTCGAGGCTTTCTCTGCTGGATAGTTTGATCCTTTGTAAGTTCCTGGACCACCTCTATTTGAAGCTTCTCCTTCAACTATTTTCTTCTCTTCTTGTGCTTGTTCTCTGGCAACACTCAATGCACGTTCTTGTCTTTGAATGTTGTCTTTCTTTAACATGTAACCACCAAGTGTCTGTGGTGGTGTGTTTTTATCTAGTGCAGCATCAATTGCAGCCTTTTCTTTTCGCTTTTCTTCGTCTAACCAATTTTGAATAGATTCTGCATCAGTTGGTTCAGCTGGAGTTGGAGACGGTGTTGGAGCTTTAGTTGGTGTTGGAGACGGTGTCGGAGCTTTAGTCGGAGTTGGAGATGGAGTAGGTGCTTTTGTAGGTGTCGGTGATGGAGTTGGAGATGGAGTTGGAGGTACTGTTGGTTCTGGAGTTGGTTCAACAGTCGGTGAAGGTGTTGGCCCTTTGTGATTCTTGGAGTTGGCTCTGGTGTTCTAATAGGGGAAGCAGTTGGTGTATTAGCTCTTTTAAGAACCTGTGATCTTTCCGCTTGATTTGAATCAGATACTGGGTTAGTTGTACTAGGATGTGATACAGGAGTTATTTTTGGTGTAGGTGTTGGTTTATTTAATGTTATACCATGACTACTCGACATTGGTGGAGGACCTGCGTGAGCAGTTGGTGTCAGAGTTGGCGTTGGAGCTACTGTAGGAGTTGGCGTTGGAGCTACTGTTGGTTCAGGAGTGGGAGTTGGTGTTGGAGCTACTGTAGGAGTAGGTGTAGGAGTTGGTGTTGGAGTCGACATTTGTTTTAACCTCTCATTATACCAATTCTCCAAATAATAAGCCTCACCCATTAAGTTACTCTGTCTTTGTTTTATAGAAAATTCACCTAACAGTAATTCATCATGAATCATTTTCTGCAGCTTTGTCGTGTTTTCTACTTCCTTTATTAGAACGCTCGATGTATTCGCCAATCCTCTATATTCCTTAATCATCTTATCTAGTTTGTTCATATTTGGTACTTCCTTTTTCTTCTCAGCGTTAATCTCATTAGATCGTTTCTCCAATTCTTCAACTACTTTGTAAAGCTTATTTATCTTGACATGTGATTCCTTTACTTCTCCAGTCCTTGGATCCTTAGGTTCCTTGTATTTAGCTAATTTCGTCTCTATATATCTTCGTTTAGCGTCATATCCAGGATCACTGGTTCGTAAAGGATGCGAAGGTGGACGAAAATAAGGTATGTAGAAATCTGGATCATCATTAATAGAAGAACGTGCTTTAAAGTTACGAACCGCGTCTGTAAAAGGGTCTCTACCACGTGCTGTATATGTTGATGTAATCAAAAAGCCTTCTCTTCTCATTGGGAAATTAATACGACCTTTTTGAACATATTCTTTCTCAAAGTATTGCCTAGCATTGTAATCAAAAGCAAGATCATTATATATATCGCGCAAAAAATCAAATGTATGCTGCTTGAACTTTTGATCGCTAATTATGGTACGAATTATCGGACGTTCATTCTCCCATTTCTTAACTCGTTCATCAATGAGTTTCCTCTCTTGTTCACTCATTTAAACCTCATAAAAATATATTATCTGCGTATAGTGCCACTAATAGCATTAATCCATGGCATGTCTGATAGTACACGTACTGACTGAACTAATGGCTTATGATTGTTCCAAATAGCTCCTCCAATGTATGCGTTATACTTATTGTTGTCAATAGTTTGTTGAGGTTGAACTATAGGTGTTTCAACAGGCTTGTCTCTACTGAAGTCACCACCAAGAGCTTTATTGAATGCTTTAAGATTCTTCGTTAATGCATTATCTTCACCTAATGTAGTTTTTGCAATTCTTTCACCAAGACTACCGATAACACCACCGACTTGACCAACTTGAGGGAAAAGTTTGTTAGCAATGTTAAATCCAGCACCTATTACAAGACCAGGATTTTTTTTCACCATACCCCATCCAGCTTTAACATAATCGCCAAAACCCATTTATTTCTTCTTAAAATAATGTCATCTTTTGTTGCTTAACTTCTTTAAAGTCCGTCTTTCCTGCAACTATATGAACTTCCATATATGAACGAGGTGTTGGTAGCTCTTTGTATTTGTTCCATAACTCTTCCCAATCTTCTGTTGCTCCTGACTGTTCAATCATTGACTGAAAGTCTCTCATAGAATAACCTTGAAAGATAACGAAGTCAGTGCATAGTCTCTTAATGTTTAAACATATATGTCTCCATGTTTGACACATGATGACAACAGTATAGTTATAATGTCTGACCTTAGTGATGAAGTTCGCTAATGGTGAACGTGGGTCATTCAATAAGTCATGACCACCATAATCGTCTAACACTAATAGAGAATTACTGGGATACTTTGTGAAAGGATATTTGTTCAACTTCTTTACAACATATATTGCAATCTTCTTATACTCAAACTTTCCATCAGGTTTCCTTAGTTGATGCTTTGTTAAGATGTGTTCCATCTCCTCTGAAATTTTTTCGAACTTACTTTGAACGAACTCAACAATAGCGTAATACTTTGCTTTCATCTTAACGTTCTTCATTAAATAAGGCATAAGTTCTTTATCATCCTTTTTCAGTACTGGTGCTTTAACTTGACTCATAAATGTCTTCGCTGTTTTATCCATTGTTCCTGATGTTGCTGAGATAACTATTGAGTCATAATATGGAGTATTAGTGAAGCGGTCTGTTATCATTATATGACGAATAACACCATATGTCTTACCTGAACCCATCTTACCGCAGTAGAAATAAACACCATTAGTACAAAATGGATAATCATCAGAAAATGGCATAATGAGTGCATTGTTTAGTTCTTTACTATTCTTACGTGCTCCATCATGAAGAATCTTATCTACTTGATTAATAACTTTCTCCATCTTTTAGTTACATATAAAATGTCTAAATATGATGGATTATACTATGAACATGTTATGAATGATGGCACGATAAGTGGTAATACAGTCTCATATAAATTACCGAGAGACTTCATTGAATATCCTGCGTCAAAAGCTCTTGAGATAAGAAAGATAAGTCTTGAGCATCCAGACTTTGAGTTTCTTGCTATTCCATTAGAAATGACAGATTCATCAAAATCAGTGAAAAAAAGGTTTGACATGAGATATTACATAAAACCCAACATGACTACACAGGAGTTGAATGAAGGTCTTATGGAAAAAATGACTGAGGCAAGTAGAGAATTTGTTGATTGTTACTATGATTCAAATGAAAATAAATTGAATGTATTAAGAAAAGGTACATCACCAATCATAACATTACCTTCATACAGTAGTATAGAAAAAAATGCCTTGAATTATAAATATGACATGTCCCTAGGAGATGTGTTGGATTTCATCACTGCGTTATTAGAAACCACTGAAACAGACACAACATCAAGAAAACCAGAGCTTGTTTGGGAAGATGACCATGGTAGAACATTCACGCAAAAAGTAATTCCATCGAAAGCAAAATTTTTAGACTTATGGGAAAAAAAATATATCTCGCGAATGCATGTATATTATAGTTTTACCATAGCAGATTTCACTGACGAAAATGATAAAGATAAAAAAACATATAAGTACTTTGATGAGCTTTTCATAACTATAGCGAATATCAGGTTTATCCTTGAGCGAAAGGGCAAACCAACATATAAATTTGTCGGTTATCAGATAAGAATAAATCCTCTCCTTGAGCCTTTAGTAACGTTGAGTAATATTGCTCATGATAACAAACAATTTATATGTAATGTGAATGAACAGCTTGTGCCACCAAAATTTTACGATATCACTGGTTATAAAGATGCACTCGTGTTTGAGTTTTATAAGCGCTTTTCATTCAAAAGAGTTGAAGAATCAACTGATGGTCAAAAAAAGGAATATTATGTAAAAGAACCATATGAAATTCCTAAAGACTCTAATATAATGGTTGAACTTATATTAGAGTCTGGTACTCAATCTCAACATAAATAGTTTACGTGACAGAATTTTTTTGACACGTAAAGTTTACATTTTAATGGAAGCGAACAACAAAGCTCCTGCTAGTGAATAAAGGTTAGTTTACATATGAACGTTTATTTTTACACATATATGCGTACATATGCGCGCCCGTATGGTGTCAGTTTTCTGTCACTTTTTTCATTGTGTCGGTGACTGTAGCTGTAGGCTACAGGCGACGCACAATGTATACTGTACTAACTTATATTAAAATGTGTACTCATTTCACTGATTACAAAGTTTTATAACAGTTGAATGTCTATCATTAAGATAAAAAGTGACTCATAATTCAATCAAAAATCTTGATTACTCTGGCAATATTGAAGCATTTGAGCTACAAAGCGGAGCCTACTTGTTGCAGTTATGGGGTGCACAAGGTGGTTATAGATCCAAACCTGAATCTGGTCTTGGTGCATATTCAGAAGCTATCATCAATGTTACTTCTTTAACCAGATTTTATGCATATGTTGGCAAACAAGGTACATGCAGTGAATCCATGATTTATGGCCATGAAGAATTTGGCGGTGGCTCAAATTGCATTGGAGCTTTTAATAATTACTCATGTATCGGCGGTGAAGCAACATTGATTGCCTATGACATTAACTTTGATAATATAATCATTGCCGCAGGTGCAGGTGGCGGCGCTGGATACCATCGCACTTCAGGTGAGGCACCGGACGGTTTTGGCGGCCCATTCGCCGAGGATGGCTATGGAAGCGCCTCTTGGTTCACTCCAGAACAAGCAAAGAAAACACGTGGAAAAGGAGCTACTTCAGAAGCCTCAGGATATGGTGGAGAATATCTCAACTCCGCTAGTCCTCGTTATTGTAAAGCAAAAAGAGGACAAAAAATAAGAGGGGGAGACTCCTGTTGTAAGGCAGACGCCTCATCAGGGGGTGGCGGTGCTGGATATTTCGGCGGTGGTGATGGTGCTGACATTGCGAGCGGTGGCGGGGGAAGTAGTTATGCTCATCCAAGTTTGATGAATGTTAATTTACTTGGAGGGGATAAATTTTTCCCTGATCCTATAAATCAACAAATTGCAATCAAAGGTAAAAAAGGAAATGGATTTATAAAAGTTACTGAATCAAATCCATACACGTTTGTTAAACTATCTCAAAGTTGTAATCCAGCTCTGATCAAATGCTCATGTATCAATTTCAATCAAATGAGATACCTTATCGGACTTGGATTTTTTATCTTGTCAGATTAAACATTTTTTTTCTGAAACGTCTTTATTGTAATAACAAAAAAGTATAACATCTATTTTTAGTAATATATAGTGATTTATAAGAACTTTTTACCAACCGAAAATATTAACTTTTTACCTATAAAGTTGAGGTATTTTCGGTTGGGTGTCAAAAAAATTCAGAGAATGTCAGAAACTTGTAAGTGAACCATTAATGAAATAAAGGACATATGACGCATACAAAATGACGGAAATGGTTCAAAGAGAGGTGAAACAAAATAATTCTACAGTCATTTACAATCTATCAGATTGAATTTACCATAATTGAAATAATTGAATGCTCCAAAGGCATTCAAGAAAATCTCTAAAGATGATATGTAAATTCTCTTGTATTCGATACATTTTTTTACATCATTTGGATTAATCAGTTCAAGTTCTTGATAGCTTGGGACATTGCGAAGACATAAAATCAAAAGTTTACACAGAAAGCAAATAATTTAAAAAATTGTTCGCAATTTGGACGGAACTTGTCTACAGCCAAATTGCAAACAATTTCTTTAATCGTTTGCAAATTCTAATTTTCATGAATGATAAAATTTATGAAAATTTGAATTTGCAAACGATTTTTTTTTCACATAATTATGAATACATAAATATATGAGAATAACAACAATTTAGAGTGAAAAGATAGTATACACATTTTTTTGATTCTAATTTCAAATAATAAGATATAATAGATGATAGATAAAAGCCTGGAGGTTCTAGAGTTGAATTTATTATAATCGAGATTTTGCATTGATAAGGTATCATAATTGTGATATTATCAGTCGCATAAAAACTTCGTGCTTCAATTTTATGTAAATTTGTTAAGAGTACAATCGTTTTGATCACTGTATTCCTACTGAATGCATCATTACCTAATATTTTGACACTTTTTGGTACAATAAAAGTAGTTTGGTTATTATTACGAGGATATTGAATAATCATCGTTAAATCTTTGCTATACATGACTCCATCAATAGAGGCAAATGTTTTACTGTTTGGATCCACATCGATCCTTTCAAGAAGTGGAAGAACGTTGAAAAAGTTTGCAGAGGAAATTGTGCGAACAGATGCTGGAATAAATAGTTTTCTAATCGGAATATTTGAAAATGGGTCATCTTCAATAACTTCGAGAGTATCTGGAAATGTGACTGAAGCTAAATTTGTATAATTTAATGAATTCATCGTAATGGTGGTACATGATCTATCTACTATTATTGTTGTAATTTCATCCGAAATATCACTTTGCTTTCTTAATACTCCGTCTTGACAATAAAGTATTGTCTCTGAAATTCTAAAAAAGTTTTGGCACTTTTGCATTTTCAATGAAAATGATTAAGGCTAATTTTAATGATATTTTACGTCAGATTTGAAGATGTACTGAAAGATAAATCTGATCTTTTTCATTAAAAAATACGATGGTTGCATTCATAATGTCATAATAATGATATATTCATTAAGACTCAAGTTCAGGATAATTTTTATAAATTTTCTGTTGATAGCATTTTGATCCAGATCAATTTCATTTTCAAAGACGTATCCCACATGAAAAATTTGAATTAAAGTCAGATGGACATGAGAATACCATTAAAAAGGTTCCTAAAGAATTTTTCTCCAATATTTTTTTTTGCATTTTGGAGATAGATACATTTATTGATGTACTTACCACTTGTGACATGCACTCAATTTTCATGTCACTTTTGTCAAAAAATTGAGGTGTTATCATAAAGTTGTATCTGCAGTCGTAAATGAAAAAAATGATTCATTTTTTAGTGAGAAAATCTTTTAAAAAAGTTCTCGAAAAAAATCATTTTTAGTAAGCGTAAATGAGTTTCCTAGTGTGGTCATTATAGGAAACATAACCTTCATAATCTGGATCATATTCAATAGCGCCATTTCCGTTTCCAACGACAAAATGCATTGGTATCCTTGCATTTGTGCATTGGAGAATTTCCTTCAGTTAGTATACATATCATGTGTACTGAGGCACTGCGCGCCACCGTACACCTGATATGTGAATTTGACACTTTACGAAACCGTTAACGTATATTTTACAATACACAAACACAAACACCAACTTAACCTTAAATATTTATAAAGCCGCCAACCACTTCACCTCACTAACGACATCGCTAACGACTTCACTAATGTAAAAATAAACGACATCGCTAACGACTTCACTAATGTAAAAATAAACGTTTTCACAAACGACTTCACTAATGTAAAAATAAACGTTTTCACAAACGACTTCACTAATGTAAAAATAAACGTTTTCACAAACGACTTCACTAATGTAAAAATAAACGTTTTCACAAACGACTTCACTAATGTAAAAATAAACGTTTTCACTAACGAGCTCACTAATGTAAAAAATAAACGTTCTCACTTACAAAAGTATTGCAACTCCTCCCATTGCTGTGCTTCACACAACAGTTCATATTCTTCTGACTCACTTTCTTCTTCATATAGGTCAAAATCACTGTCATAGTTTATACCTGTAAGTTTTGACAAAGCTAATGAAACACGCTTACCGTTTGTATCGTATGCTTGTATAAACTTTCCATTCTTCATTCCTTCATAAACGCTCAAACTAACTTTACCCTTTCTCCCTCGTATCTGATAGAATGTATTTTCACGAGGAACGAAGAACAAATTCTTGAACTCATGACCGTTGTAGTTTGTTATCTCAATAGTTTTCGTCATTACATCCAAAATAAAATAAAAATAATTTTAAAAATAAACTTAAAAATTAATGATATCACCACCCTCACACGTATGAAAACATCCATTTAAATTTAGGTGAAGTGGTGAGATCTCACCTCTTTTTTCACCTCTTTTTCACCCTGTTGAATTCATTGCTTTATAACTCTCTTCCTTGGTTTCTTTTTAGTTGCTTTCTTCACGTCTGTCTCCAGCTTAACTGTCTTTCTTCTTCGTCCGTAATGATACCAATTACTTCCACCAGTCAATGGGTCAAATGGTCTTTCGTAAAGGTTTCCATACATTCCATAGGGACCATACGGAAGAACCACTGGTGGAGAAGAAACATTTTCTTTAGTTCCATCGACTCTATTTAAATGCATTGTTTCACCTTTCATCTGGTCATTAAAGTCTTTTGCGTGTTTTGCAAACTCATCGTCCTTTCCTAAAGCATTTTCTGACTCAGTCGCAACCAAATTGGATGCTTTATTTATGAGCCCTATTTTATTTAATCTTAACTTCTTTGCAACCCAGCCTCCAATCTTCCCTTTATTTGCATCTAATGTCTTCGAAACCCTTCCTCCACTCATTTTATTTACTGCGTCATAAGCTCCAAGTGCTTTTGCTCCAAATGCTAATGCTTTTGTTCCCATTGCGCCTAAAGCTGCCCAAGCTACCATTTACACCATATTAAAATCATCTCTCTTCAATATTATCTCATAAAAGTTCTCGTTACTGGAGAAAGTCAATGAAACATAAACATTCTCACGGGCTTCGCCCTCACCGCTTTGCGGTCTATCTAACTTCTTTCTTATATCATCTATACGCTTCAAAATGTCCGAACAATTGCTAACATCTTCTACAACAGTTATTTCATCATGAATGACTTTCAAGAACAAACTCATTTAATATGCAATTAAAATCATCTCAATAATGAGTCCATCCTTTCCATCTTTAGGTAGCACAACATCTTTCATTGAAGAAGGTTCGACAAGTCTTATGTTAAACTTACTGACAAAGTTTGTTATACTATAATGCTTCGGCGGCGAATACATATAGTTTGAAAGACATAATATAGATTCTTCAGCAAATTCACTTATACTGGATTTTATAACAATGTTCTCACGAGACCAAATGCCACCAATTGAAAATTGTAAGCAATCCTGCTGAACCTTCTACTGTAAACGTCGATGGTAACATTCCACGAAGGTCATCTATTGACATCGTTGAGTCACTGTATTTAAATATTTTCTTAAAGCAATCGTCATTATCTAACCATGCAATAGCTTTGAAGTTTTCATTCGAATATACATCTGCTTCATTAAATGTAAAACCTGACTTCTTTGCAGAGACGATTTTAAAATCTATTGCATTTGTTTCAAAATTATATGCTATGGTAACTTCTGAGGTAATGGATGCCCTTCGCAGTCAGTTGTTTCTTTCAATTTACCGTTTGAAGCTTTGTATTAAAACTTTCATGTCATCTCCTGTATCTAAGTTCACATACACAGCAACAGGAAACTATCTTGCTTCTTTGTTTCATCATTATATCTCAAAACATTAAAGTTCTTCAATAATATTGTTCTTCCTGCTGGAATACTTCGAACCTGTCTGATTTCAATAGCTTTCTCACCTCCTACATACTCTACCAGTGTCTTGGTATTCATAAGTATACTGACTTTCTTGAATTTGGTAGGTTTCATCATAACGTGTTCATAGTATATCTTTATACTCTTGTCAGTTAGACTCGTGCTATGTTCTGAATATTTCTGACTTGCATTTTTAATGGAGATAAAATGAAGCATTTAATATATGACGTAGATGAAGACATGAATGAAACTACAGACAAACTTAACTCTTCTCTCATTCTTCCTTTCAGTAAGGACTATGAGTTCTGTTCAAATGGTGTGTATTTCTATTGTGGAAAGATGGGTTCAGGTAAGACATTTAACCTCATTCGTCATATACTCATAACAGAACGTTTAGGGAAACGACTCTTACTATGACCAAATCATTATATCAGCATTCAGACTCTATGGACTCAACAGCGAAAACATTTATGTCAAAAGTTCAAGCCTCTGTCGTTAAAGTTCCAGACAGTGAACTCATTGAATTTCTCAACGTTACATTCGACGTAAGAGGAAATATTATGCCATCGTTGAATTTATACAGTCAGGAATGCAAAAGACTTCTGAGGAGATGGAAAGAATTATTGACAAACACCACTTACGTCAATACTCAGGAGTTTACGATATGAAACAACTTACAAACTACATTCTGTC